TTTCAGAACAAATGATAGAAGCAAAGAATCAATCATTTCTTCATCAGCTATGCTCAATAATTGCTGGGCACTGGGGATATAGAAATAAAATTCAGGGGCTGGGAATGTATCTCAGTGGTAGAGTGCTTGCCTCAGTTGTACAAGACTTAGGTTCCATCTCCACCACCATAATAATAATAATAATAATAATAATAATAATAATAATAAAAATCATCATAATCCTTGTGATCAGGAAATCTACCCTTGGGCCCTTGGCAATAAGACCTAAAATACTGAACCTGAGAAGTGCTATAGAGGAAGCTTGGGTATGGCCTGGGGTTCCTACATTTGATCTCTAAGATAGTGAGTTCCTGTCTTATGTTTGTCCCAAATGTCCTTGGTCTTCTGGCGGAAGAAAGTCTCCTCCTTTGTCACCCCTAGTCACTGACCCCAGGAATGGTGTTCTCTTTCTTCATGTTGCCTTTGCTGGAAAACTTTTCTTATCAGCTCCTGGGTCTCCTTTTGGTCTTTTTCTTCTCTCCTCTAGTTTTCCCCTCCCCATCCCCAACAGTGCTCTGGAGCCCACCCAGTTGGCCCCCTTCCCTCTTGCCTTAGTCAGCTCCTCACCCTGACAATAACTGCATTTAAAGATTCATTGATTCGGGGATGTGGCTCAAGTGGTAGCGTGCTCGCCTGGCATGCGTGCGGCCCGGGTTTGATTCTCAGCACCACATAAAAATAAAATAAAGATGTTGTGTCCACCTAAAACTAAAAAATAAACATTTAAAAAAAAAAAGATTCATTTGCATGTAAAAGATAATCCTTTTGGCTCCAGAGCAATTCATTTCTTGTTTTACAACTTTAAAATTAGTTAAGACCCCTGAATTTGCATTTTAACAGAGACCTGCCAGGTTCCACATTTGAGAAGTGGAGTCATCCCAAATTGTGACATTTGCATTAGGGGTGAAGAAATGTCACCTAGGAGATTGTTCTGGCATACCCACGAAACATTGTAGATGCAAATGGATATTCTTGGTTGGTCAGGGAGGGTCTGCACACAGGCTCCTACAGCCCCAAGCCCTGATCTTGAGCCTTTGAATATCATTGTCTTCAGATTGCTTTTTCCTGTGGACCTTGGTTTCTCTCTATAAAATGGAACCACAAGCTTCCCCAGAACCTGTTCTCTCCACAGGAGGAGCTGAATGTACCTGTGTGCCAGCCTTGGGAGACAGAGAGCATGGGTCACAGAGCAGAGTTGTTCACTCCATGCATCATGGCCTCCCTGTGCATCCTGCAGCAGCTTTCATGACCCTTCTGTGAGCAGAGGAACCAAGTGTCACCTTCTAAAGTGCAGTTCCAAGCTGGACACACAGGATGGAGATTCCTGATGGCTGGTGGTGAAGCACAAGGCTTCCAGGACATGGTAGAAAACCTGATATGTTAGAAGGAGGAAGGCGAGCAAGGAGGAAAGGTGAGGGAGAGGGTGTCCCTCCCATTCTCCTTCCTGTCATTTCCTCCTAAATCTCCTTCTTCATTCTTCTGCATTGCTGCTCAGGATCACCTCTTTGATGACATGCTCACCTACTTCCCTTCCAGGCTCCCAAAGAATTTGTCTTTTTAAACTGGGAGTGATGGTGTAGGCCTGTAATCCCAGTGACTTGGAGAGGCTGAGGCAGGAAGATAACAAGTTCAAAGCCATTCTCAGCAAAAACAAGGTGCTAAGCAACACAGTGAGAACCTGTCTCTAAATAAAATGCAAAATAGGGCTGGGGATATGACTCAGTGGTCGAGTACCTCTGAGTTTAATCCCCAGTACCCTCCACACACACACACACACACAATTATATGTAGATAATACCATCTATTGTTTTTAGCATTTTCATGTATGTGGCCTTTCTCCTGAAATGTAGTGGTTTTAACTTCAGCTGCAAATAAGAATCACTAGGGAAGTTAAAAAAAAAAAAATTGGTCTGGGGTTGTAGCTCAGTGGTAGAGCATTTGCATAGAACATGTGAGGCACTGGGTTTGATCCTCAGTACCACACAAAAATAAATAAATAAAATAAAGGTATTGTGTCCATCTACAAATAAAAATATTAAACATATATAAAAAAAATCCCAGAGCTGCTGGGTGCTGTGGCCCATGTCTGTAATCCCAGCAATTTAGGAGGCTAAAACTGGAGGATTGCAAGTTTGAGGCCAGCCTGGAAAATCTAGGGAGACCCTCAACAATTTAACAAGAACCTGTCTCAAAATAAAAATAAATAGGTCATGGGGCATGGTGGCGCACACCTGTAATTCCAGTGGTTTGGAAGTTTGAGGCAGGAGAATTGGGAGTTTGAAGCCAGCCTCAGCAACTTAGTGAGGCCCTAAGCAACTCAGCAAGATTCTGTCTCTAAATAAAATACAAAAAAAAAAAAAAAAAAACATGGTTGGGGATGTGGCTTAGTGGTTAAGTGCCCCTGGATTCAATGTCTCTGGCACCAAAAAAATAAGTAAATAAAAATAAAACAAAATAAATAAATAAGGTCTGGGGATGTAGCTCAGTGACAGAATGCTTGCCTAGCATGAGCGAGGCTCTGGGTTCAATTCCCAGTACTGCAAAAGAATTTAAAAGTTAAAAAAAAAAATCCTAGAACCCAAGCCCCAAGTCCAGGGCATCTGATTTAAGTCCAATGTAAGGCTGTCATCTGTGGCTGGAGTATTCCCCAGGCGCAATGAAGGCTTAAGGGCAGGACCTTGCCCAGTAGTTCAGCATTCAGAAGATTTAAGACTATATGGGGCAGGCGTGGTAGTTCACACCTGCAATTCCAGCTACTCAGGAGTCTGAGGCAGGAGGATCAAAAATTTGAGGTCAGCGTTGGCAAGTTAGTGAGATGTAGCTCAGTCTAGGTGACTTATGCCCTGCCCCTTTTAATTCCTCACTCCCTACTGCCCCAAAGACTGTGGATTGGAGGGTGGATTAAAAGGTCCTTTACAAAGCAAGTGTCTGAGGCCTGAGAAGATCATCTGGACAATGGCAACGGGAAGGACACACAGAAGTGCCCAGTGGGAAGGTGGTGGAGGTGAGGTGTGGTGGGATTCCCGTTGCTCAGTCTTTGGAGAAGCAGGTGGGCACTCCTGAGAAGGGTATGTAATACAAACATGGCCACCTAGGCCCCCGGCCCCAAAACTAAGTTCCTGGTGAAGGAGATTGTGGTCCCTCACGGTCCATGCTGTAGAATCCCCTCCCCCTCTGAATGATGCTTTCTGGGGCTGGGGGTGTAACTCAGTGGGAGTACGCTTGCCTAGCATGTGCAAGGTTCTGGGTTCCATCCCCAGCACCCAAAGTCAAATACTGTGTTTTCATTAGTTAATTAATTTAATTTTGCAGTAGTAGGATTGAACCCAGAGTTGCTCCACCGCTGAGCTACATCGTGTTATGCTCGAATTCGGGACCCGCAAAAGACCACCAGAGACCAAGATCGATGTAAACAGCAAAGAGGTGTTTATTGCGAGCTAGCTCACAATAGCGCACACAACAACTGGTGACGCTGAGAGGCCCCGAGCCCAGGGTTTGCAGCAGTTTTATACTGGGAGGGTCATCTGGCATCCCAGGTATTTCCCTGTCTCATGCTGATTGGTGGCTGCTAGGGGGTTGCTATGGATCCCCACCTAGCCTGACTGAGTCAGGGACACCTGGCACAGCAGATCTCTCTCTCCTAGCACTGTGCCTAGCATGTGCCATGCCTGGGGTTCCATCCCCAGCTCCTCAAGAACACCACAGCTACTGTCAGACCAGGGGCCCTACTGTTGCCCTGTTAGCAGATGGTAGTGACCACCCCCTCTGCCTCCTCCTCAACAATGGCCACAGACCCCCTGAGGCTATTTTTTGTCTTTGGATTCAGAACCCATTTTGAAGACCTCAGGACACAAGTATTTTTTTTTTAAGAGAGAATTTTTAATATTTATTTTTCAGTTTTCGGCAGACACAACATCTTTATTTTATTTTATGTGGTGCTGACGATCGAACCCAGCGCCCTGCGCATGCTAGGCGAGCGTGTTACCGCTTGAGCCACATCCCCAGCCCAGAGGACACAAGTATTGGCATGACTGATGCTGAATCCCTGGCCTAGCCAAGATGTGAAAGGAAAAAGCCTCTCAGCCAGGTGCGGTGAAACAACCCTGTAATCCCAGCTTCTCTGGAGGATCACAAGTTCAAAGTCAGCCTTAGCAACTAGGTGAGACCCTTTCTAAAATAAAAAAATAAGATAAAAAGGGGCTGGGAGTGTAGCTCAGTGATAGAGCACCTGCTTAGTATGCACAAGGCCCTGGGTTTCATCCCCAGTATTAAATTTGAGATTTCAAAGTTTGCTCCCAACAAAAAAAGGACAATAAAAGCAAACATTTATTGAGCATCTTTGTATGCCAACAATGTGCAAGATACTGGAATTTAGCAGGAAACAGATAATAAGAAAAACAGTAGAATATCGTTGTGGGTGGCATGGCCCCCGAAGATTGTCTGCCTGAGTTAAAATATGTCACCTAATTTATTGAGGGCATGCTTAGCAGGCATAATGCCCTGGGTTCAATCCCTGGCACTTCCCACCAACCAAAAAAAATTTTTTTTTGGTACCAGGGATTGAACCCCAGGGCACTGAGCCACATCCCCAGTCCTTTTCATATATTTTATTTAGAGAAAGGGTCTCTCTGAATTGCTAAGCCTGGCTTTGAACTCATGATTTTTCTGCCTCAGCCTCCCCAGCCACTGGGATTACAGGCGTGTGCCACTGTGTTTGGCCCCACCCACCAAAATTTTTACTTCATTGGAGGCTCACTTTTGCATCTGTCAAATAGTAGAATCACTTATGACACAGAGTGGTCCTGAGGCTGAGGACTATATAAAATAATGTTTAGAAAGCTTTTTTTTTTTGTACTGGTATTAAACCCAGGGATGCTTTTTTTTTTTTTTTTTTTTTTTTAAACCACAAAAGTTTTATTTTAACCCCATGTTTACAAAAAAAGTGATTCATACATGAAAACTGGGTTTTCACCGGGTTTAATACATTAAAATGACATAATCCAATCCTACTCATGCATCACTTTCAGAAACACAGTGCAACTGGAAATATTTTTGCCATCACAGTGGACATTTCTAAAAAGCAAATGCCTGTGGGTGTTCCTGAGCCTTCAAAATAATAATAATAATAATAATAATAATAGTAAAAAGAAAAGTAACAGACACCACAGTTCTCTAAGAATGGCTGTGTTCTGCACATTGTGGAAAGATAATAAAAATAGCCTTCTAGAGTTTCAATATGCCTCGGAACATGGATTTCATCTCCCTCAGTTTGCTCTTGCTGACTTCTTAGATCACTTGATTAGAAGCCTGTTTTCATTGCTTCTTTACTAATTGCTGTTGGTACTTTGTAGGCTACACCTTTTAAACTTCTGTAAAGAACATTACAAGCTATTTCATGTAATTTAATTTTGTGCTGAATATTCTTCAAAGAATTTTATAAATAATACAATATTGTAAATGAGTCTTCAAATTCTCTTGTTGTTATACCATATTGTTGCTTTCTCCAACTTTATCTACAAATGATCTAATTCCAGGTAAATTTAAGAGGGATCCAAGAACTGGCACTCTTCTAATAAAGCCAACAACCACAGGAAAGAAGCCCCTGAACAAGAGAAAGAATCCATAAATTTCAAAGATCATGCCTATCAAAGGCCAACCAATAAGGACTACAAATACACCACCTAGGAAAAATCCTGTAGCTTTCATTTTATGTTTTTGGAAGAAGAATCTGAATGTTCTTTCTAAACCAATTACAAAAGCCAAGCCAGCCACAAATAAAACATTTCCAATAGCCAGTAGTGCTTTGTCAAAAAAGAGAATCATTCCAAAGAACAGGAAAAACACTCCAAATCCTGTTAATCCCATTCCAATTTTCTGGGTGTCCGTTAAGGAGATCATGGTTGCAGTGGTGAGGGCAGCGGAGGCAGCACCTCAGAATGCCCAGGGTGGAAAGCTGAGTAGAGAGAAATGAAGCCGGGGAGCAGCCCCGGAGAGCCGCCACATAAACCCAGGGATGCTTTAATTTTAAGAGAGGGTCTCATGAAGTTGCTTAGGGCCTTGCCAACTTGCTGAGTCTGGCTTCAAACTTGTGATCCTCCTATCTTAGCCTCCCATCACTGGAAGTTCAGCTCTGCACCACCATGCCCAGCTTGGAGCAATTTTGAACAAATATTTAGTGAATATTGCATTTTAATGGGGGAAACTAGATATTGAGCAGAAAAATTTCCTTCTCTCCTTCCCTTCTTCCCTCTTACTTTCTAAATGGGGTCTCACTATGTTGTCCAATCTGATCTCAAACTCCTGGGCTTAAGTGATCCTCTTGCCTCAGTCCCCTAAGTGCTGAGATTGTAGTCATATGCCACCATATTCATAAACAAATAATGTCAGGAATGACAGTAGTTGCATCCCTTAGTCTTGTGTTTCAGAGTTTGATTCTTAGAATGATGAAGTAATTTCTCTGTAGACATTCTGTACTTCTTGGTTCGTGATGGTCTGTTGGGCTCTGCTGGGGTGTAACGCCTGTGGTTTGTGTATGACACCATTCGTTTCTCCATTCTGCTCAGAGGCCACTTTACTGGCAAACACGACTGCCTGAAAAACAGGAAGAAGGCACTCCAACTGTTCACACTATGGTGAAGAGTCAGAGCACGGGTTCAACCCGTGCCCATCAGCCTTCATGCCAACAATTCTGGGCTTTCTAGACACAGCAATTTTCAAGTCTTAGCTGAATGTTCTACTATCTCCCTCTAGGTCCCCAACAACTGTTCATGTCACCATACTTGATTTTCTCCCCTTTTTTTTCTTTCCAGAGCAGGAGGTGGAACACAGGGTCTTGTGCATGCTAGGTAAATGGTCTACCATTAGCTACACACTGGCCCCTATTGACTTCCCCCCTCCCCATTTTAGGCTGACTTCCGAATATAGAAGATGAAGCTTTAGCCCTCACTCAGCTCTGAGTCCTACTCTTGATCACCACACATGTTATTTGTCCCTTCATCATCCCAATATTTATGTCTTCATTTTCTTAACTCTATATTCAGTGCTTATATTAGAAGGCTGAGCTGAGTAATTGATTATCCCTTTTTCTTTTTTGCACAACAGTTTGTATTTCATTTATATATAAATATATATGTTATTTTTTCTTTATATATTCTTTTTTTTCTTTTCTGTTTTGATACTAGGGATTGAACTCAGGGGCACTTGACCACTGAGCTATATATCCTTAGCTCAGTTTTTCATTTTATTTAGAGACAGGGTCTCACTGAGTTGCTCAGTGCTCGCTTTTGCTGAGGCTGGCTTTGAACTTGTTATCCTTCTACCTTAGCCTCCCAAGCCATTGAGATTAAAGGCATGCAACATTGCGCCCAGTTCTTTCTTTCTTTATTTTTTTTAAATGACAATTCTTTGTTTTTTTTATTTTAATATTTATTTTTTTTTTTAGTTTTTTCGGCAGACACAACATCTTTGTTTGTATGTGGTGCTGAGGATCGAACCCAGGCCACACGCATGCCAGGCGAGCACGCTACCGCTTGAGCCACATCCCCAGCCCCAACGCCCAGCTCTTTATATATTCTTATATAAAAGTTATGTATATTACTGGGCCGGGGATATGGCTCAAGCGGTAGCGCGCTCGCCTGGCATGCGTGTGGCCTGGGTTCGATCCTCAGCACCACATACAAACAAAGATGTTGTGTCCGCCGAAAAGTAAATAAATAAATATTAAAATTCACCCCCCCAAAAAAGTTATGCATATTACTTTTTCTTTTCCTTCTTTTTTTGGTTTTTGTTTTTGTTTGTGGTTCTGGGAGTGGAACCCAGGGCTTCACATATGTTAGGCAAGTTCTCTGCTACTGACCCACATCTCAGCACTTGATATAATTAATTTTCATACATTGTGCTAAATTCTTCAAATGGCCTTTAAATCTGGACCTCATGTATTTTGGTTCTAAGTGGTCTTCTTGAATTTTTTTTTAATTTATTTTGTTTTTTCTTTCTTTTAATTGTAGTTGGACACAATATCTTTATTTTATTTTATTTGTTTATTTTTTTATGTGGTGCTGAGGATTGAGCCCAGTGCCTCGAACGTGCTAGGCGAGCACTCTACCGCTGAGCCCCAGCCCCAGCCCCTTGAAGTATTTCTTTTATGATTTTCTTCACTGTTTTCTCCTTCTGAAACATGGAATTTTCGCATATTGAATTTCTTGAAATCATCCTTTTTTTAAAAAAAAAATACTTTTAGTTGTAGATGGCACAATACCTTTATTCTATTTATTTATATTTATGTGGTGCTGAGGATCAAACCTGGTGCCTCACACATGCTAGACAAATGCTCTACCACTGAGCTACAACCCCAGCCCCTGAAATCATCCTTTTTTTTTTTTCCTTTTATTTATTTTTTTTTATTGGTTGTTCAAAACATTATAAAGCTCTTGACATATCATATTTCATACATTAGATTCAAGTTGGTTATGAACTCCCAATTTTACCCCAAATACAGATTGCAGAATCACATCTGTTACACATCCACATTTTTACATAATGCCCTATTAGTAACTGTTGTATTCTGCTACCTTTCCTATCCTCTACCATCCCCCCTCCCTCCCCTCCCATCTTCTCTCTCTACCCCATCCACTGTAATTCATATCTCTCCTTGTTTATTTTCCCATTCCCCTCACAACCTCTTATATGTAATTTTGTATAACAATGAGGGTCTCCCTCCATTACCATGCAATTTCCCTTTTCTCTCCCTTTCCATCCCACCTCATGTATCTGTTTAATGTTAATCTTTTCTTCCTGCTCTTCCTCCCTGCTCTGTTCTTAGTTGCTCTCATTATATCAAAGAAGACATTTGGTATTTGTTTTTTAGGGATTGGCTAGCTTCACTAAGCATAGTCTGCTCTAGTGCCATCCATTTCCCTGCAAATTCTATGATTTTGTCATTTTTTAGTGCTGCATAATACTCCATGGTGTATAAATGCCACATTTTTTTTATCCATTTATCTATTGAAGGGCATCTGGGTTGGTTCCACAGTCTAGCAATTGTGAATTGTGCTGCTATGAACATCGATGTAGCAGTATCCCTGTAGTACGCTCTTTTAAGGTCTTCCAAGAAGGGCAATAGCTGGGTCAAATGGTGGTTCCATTCCCAGCTTTCCCAGGAATCTCCATACTGCTTTCCAGATTGGCTGCACCAGTTTGCAGTCCCACCAGCAATGTACCTTTTTTTTTTAATATTTATTTTTTAGTTGTGGGTAGACACAATATCTTTATTTTTTATTTTTATGAGGTGCTGAGGAGTGCCTCATGAATGCTAGTGAGCGCTCTACCACTGAGTCGCAACCCCAGCCCTGAAATCATCCTTTTAAAAGATCTTTTCTTATACTAGGGGTGCACACCTATAATCCTAGCAGCTTGGGAAGTTGAGACAGGAGGATCGCAAGTTCAAGGCCAGCCTTAGCAACTTAATAAGATGCTATCTCAAAATTAAAAAAAAATAATAATAAAAAGGGTTGGGAATATAGCTCAGCAGCAGAATTCCCCTGGCTTCAATCCCCAGTACTGAAAATATAAATAAATAAATAAATAAACAAATAAATAAATAAATAAATAAATAAAATTGATTTTTGTATTGGTTTTGGAGAGAAACTAAATTTAACCATCTGCCCTTTTCTTCTTGTTTTTTCTTCCTTCTTCTTCTTTTTTTCCCCAGCCCTGGGGATGGAACCCAGGGGTGCTCTACCGCTGAGCTACATCCCCAGTCCTTTTTGCTTTGTATTTTGAGACAGGGTCTTAATAAATCACTGAGGTTGGCCTTGAACTTGCGATCCTCCTGTCTCAGCCTCTCTTCTCAGCCTCTCCAGTCGCTGATATTCCAGGCGTGTGCCTCCGTTCCCAGCTTCATTTGCCATCTTTAACAGTCCACTCACCTGTGACTATGTCCTGATTCATAGGGTTTATACACAGTCCTTGTGAGTTTGGTTATTCCACTCTCTGGTCCCTAGACGATGAGCAACACATTAGAGGGGGAAGATTGCTGAAGGAGAGTCTCCAAAAGTAGTAAGTATGAAAAAAATCATAGAAGAAATATATACAAGCAGAGCAATCTACAGCCATTAGAACAGAGGCCTACAGAGCTAAAGAGCTCCACAGCATCCTAAATTTAGTGGCAGTGAAATAGAAGTAAAAAGGTCAGATTATGTTTACCATTCTCTAAGAAGTGAGGAAGAACACACTAAAAAACTTGTGTGAGGGGATCATGAACTGTAATTGAATTTCATGCATATATGAATTCAATGGGATGAACCTAATTACTATGTATAACTACAAAGCTCTAATTTTTAAAAGGTTAAAAAAAAAAAAATCTGGGCAAGGTAGCACACGCCTGTAATCTCAAGTGACTCAGGAGGCTGAGGCAGGAGGATTGCAAGTGTAAGGCCAGCTTCAGTATTTTAGTGAGGCCTTAAGCAACTTAGCAAGATGCTGTCTCAAAATAAAAAAATAAAAAAGGGCTGGGGATGTGGCTTAGTGGTTAAGCACCCTTAGGTTTAATCCCTGGTACAAAAATAAATAAATAAATAAAAGTTTAAAAAAAAGGATGTCCAAGAATGATGACAAATGGTTAGATATCTTTTTATATCTCAATGCTTAGGTTTACATGGTAATAAAATAAATAAATACCATATATAGAAAAAGACAGACTTATATGAGGAATATTACTTATACTGTATAGTTTTAAAAATGTTTTCAGGCTGGATTACATTTGTAATCCCAGGGACTCAGGATGCTGAGGCAGGAAGATCACAAGCTCAAGGCCAGCTTCAGCAACTTAGCAAATCCTGTCTCAAAATAAAATATAACTTCATATTTTATACATTCACATACTGAAAAACTTAGTTGAAAAAAAAAACTTAGTAAGAGGCACTGGGTACTTTCCTTTTTTGTTTCAAATAGACATTAAGACTCATGAATGTTAAGGAATTTTTTTTCAAAAATCACATAGTAGTTCTGTGAAACAGCTAACTTTCTTGTTTCCTAAAAACATTTCCATAGTTAAAAGCACAAGCTCTCAGTATTTGGAAAAATCCTTTTGTGCCATGTGGCTGTTCCCATGACCCACCTTTGCTCACTGTGATCTCCTGCAAGGATCTGCTCTCAGGTGATTAGGTGACCTGCTAGAGGCCAGTGAAGACATTTGAAGACTTTGAAGACCTTTCCTCTCAGGCTACCAGGGAAGGCAGTATGGTGGAATCCGCCTGGGACAACTGCACACTCTACTTGCTACCAGCTGTGTGATCTTAGGCAAGTTACCGAACCAACTAGCCCACAGGTGCTTCAGCATACTTACCACTCAAGCCAGGGAAGCAAGAGTGCCTACCTAATAAGACAAATGCAAGGATCAAATGAATATGTAGTAGATATATAATTCTCAATAAGCTTTAGCCGTTATCCTTTCCATTTCCTTAACTGTGGAGATCAGAGGCTCTCATTTGTTTTATGTAAAAATGGTATAGAAGTCTGATGTTGTGGTGCATGTCGGGAATACCAGTGATTCCTGGGATGCTGAGGCAGGAGAATTGCAAGTTCAAGGCCAGCCCCAGCAATTTAGTGAAACCCTATCTTAAATATGAAAAAGGATCTGGGGTTGTAGCTCAGCAGTAAAGAGCCTCTGGGTTCAATCCCTACTACCAAAAAAATAAAAGTATAGAAGTTGGGCATGGTGGCATAGTCCTGTCATCCCAGTGACTCCAGAGGCTGGAACAGAAGGATTGCAAATTCCACGCCAGCATCAGTAATTTAGTAAGACCCTCAACAACATAATAAGCCTCTGTCTAAAAAGAAAAAAATAAAAAGGTCTGGGGAGCTGGGTGTGGTGGCGCAAGGCTATAATCCCAGCCTTATAAATATGATCATGAATTCAAAGCCACCTCAGCAACTTAGTAAGGTCCTAAGAAACTTAGCAAAACTCTGCTTCAAAAAATTTTTAATTATTTATTTGGTACCAGGGATTAAGCACCTACCTCTCTGGAGGAGCTGGGGATATAGCTCAGTGGTAGAATGTGTGCTTAGAATCAAAGAGGCCCTTTGTTCAATCTGGCATCAAAAACAAAACAAAGAAAGTACTGATTTTATCAGTACATATTGTATACATGTATTGAAATGTCACACTATATTTCATAAATATGTACAATTACTACATTTTTTTTTTGGTACCAGGAATTTAACTCAGGGGCACTCAGACACTAAGCCAACATTCCCAGCCCCATTTTTGTATTTTATTTAGAGACAGGGTCTCACCAAGTTGTTTAGCACCTCCCTTTTTGTTGAGGTTGGCTTTGAACTTGTGATCCCCTGCCTCAGCTTCCCCAGCTACCGGGATTACAGGGGTGCACTGTGCCTGCCATACAATTACTACATGTTAATCAAAAATCTGAAAAGGGGTTAGAAGTGTAGTTGGTAGAGCATGTGCCTATTATGCATGAGGTTTTGGGTTTTATCTCCAGCACCACAAAAATAAAATTTAAATATGTCTAAGGAGATGGAAATTTTTTTTTTTACAGTAACTAATGTTTATTGGGCACTTTATATGTCAAGTACTGGGCTAAGTTCTTAGCAGACCCTATTCTTTATTTAATTTTCAAATCCATATGCGGTAGAGCTGTTGGCATATTTTACATTGATTTAAAAATGATTTAAAAAATCAGGATCAGACATAGATAGTAACATGAAAAATTCATTTGGTTGTTGTAGAGGCCAGAAGGGTGTCTGTGGTTTGGGTTTGCAAGCCTACATGGGGATGTGGAAATGTTAATTATTCTGATTTTATCATTGCACATTATATGTACATATTGAATGATCACACTTGAACCTCATAAATTTATACAGTTAAAATAATCGTTTAATAGAAAAATAAAATAAAAATAGTAATAGTATTTAAATCTTCAAACCTATAGATAATTCCTATATTCTGCTATAGGTTGTGTATAGCAACAGCATATGGTGTCAGTGGGAAGAAAAAGATGTTTCAGTGAAAATACCTTTTAGATATTTGTGTGGCCAGCAACTATCTTTAATTCTGAAAACCTCTCTGGTCTTCAGTTTTGGGGTTATAACCCACCTGTCTTTTCAGTTTCTGGGTGTGTCAATTGTCTTCCATAATGTGTCAAAAACAGAGCCCTGTTTCACATTTTACAGTCTCTGCACTTGGCAGAATATTCTTCCAGAATGGCCTCATGTTTTACACGCGTGACCCACTGTCGTCAGGTGCCACACCTTTCCTGCAAAACAATGCCCAGGGTACACTGGGAGGAGGCCCCTTGGAAGTGATTTCAGCCACAAAAGGCCTCCTTGGAGCAGGCTCTAACCACAGAGCCCAAGAGGTTGAATCTGGACAAGCTGTCTCTGCTCAAGCAGGCCCTACAGAGCCTGTCGTCAGCCTCTGGGATCTGGCCCTGCTGAGATTCACTGATTCTGACCTGTTTTCAGGTATGTGAGCCCAACCCTCCTCTCGGTCTCCACCTCAAGACCTGGGTCCTCCACTCCACCAGCCCAAGTAGCTTCTGCCTGACTGACGATAACTCCAGCCTGTGGACTCAGCTGGCCTCTTATATTCCCTAGTTAAGGCCTGACCTGGGGTTCCTAGAGCCAGCCTTTTGAGATATGAAATTTAGCTTCTCCTTTTAACCAAAGCTTTTCAAAAGAAAGACTTTATATTCAGCTTTGATGGGGTATTTTAAAAAAAAACATTCAAATTATTTATTTCATATTTATAAAAAATGTATTTTGCATTTGGTACTGGGGGTTGAACCCAGGGCCTTCTACATGCTAAGTTAGTGCTCTATCACTGAACAACATTCCCAGCCTATTGTTTTTTAAACTGGTGTTTATTTTCAATAACCTTATTTCCATTTTGATTAAGTGTCTTCAGAAGGAGACCACTCAGTGGATGTTCCCATGCACTCAGTGGCCTAAGCCACTGAGACTAGTCTTCAGTGGCCAGCTTCAGTAGGCAAGTGCTGGATAGGAATAGAGGGTGCCTGCACTCCTTCAGACCAGTCTGCACCTTCAGATTGAGTAGCAGTGACCTTGGGAGCAGTCCACCATCTACTTACCATGAAATTCCTCCTCTGTTCTATTTTCTTGTCTTTTTTTTTTTTTTTTGGTACTAGGGATTGAACCCAGGGGTGCTTTACACTGAGCCACATCCACAGTCCTTTTTACTTTGAGACAGGGTCTTTCTTAAGTTGCTCAGGCTGGCTTCAAACTTGAGATACTCCTGCCTCAACCTCCTTCAGCTGGGATTACACACAAGCGTGGACCAAGGCACTTGGCATGCATTCACCATTTAAATCTCACAGTGGGAAGGCTGGGGGTGTGGCTCAGTGGTGGTGCACTTGTATCCTATGTACTAGGTCCTGGATTCAATCTCCAGCCTGAGAAAGGAAAGAAGGAAGGAAGGAGGGAAGGAGGGAAGGAAGGAAGGAAGAAAATAAACCTCACCAAAGAATATATGTAGCCTGGTGCAGTGGCACACGCCTGTAATCCCAGTGGCTGGGAGGCTGAGGCAGGAGGATCATGAGTTCAAAGCAGCCTTAGCAACTTGACAAGACCCTAAGCAACTCAGTGAGAGCTTGTCTCTAAATAAAGTATAAAAAATAAAGTTAAAAAAAAAAAAGTATAAAAAGGGGTTAGGGATGTTGCTCAGTGGTTAAGTACCCCCGGGTTCAATTTCCAGTACCAAAAAAGAATCTATGTGGTAGGTACTTTTTATCCCCATTTTCAGATCAGGAAACAGATGTGTAGAGAGTTTAGCCAGGCATGGACCACCAATTTGGAAGTCCCAACAATTTGGAAGGCTGAGGCAAGAGAATAGGAAATTCAAGGCCAGCCTCTTAGCAAGGCCCTAAATAACTTAGAGAGGCCCTTTCTCAAGATATAAAATAAAAAGGACTGGGGATGTGGCTCAGTGGTAAAGTGCTCCTGGGTTCAATCCCCAGTTTAAAAAAAGGGGGTGGGGCTGGGGTTATGGCTCAGTGGTAGAGCGCTCACCTTGCACATGCAGGGCTCTGGGTTCGATCCTCAGCACCACATATAAATAAATAAAGTAAAGGTATTGTGTCCAATTACAACTACAAAAAACAAACAAACAAACAAAAAAAAAAAACAACAGTGTAGAGAGTTTAAATATCATGTCCAAGGCCACAGTGCTAGAGAGGTAAGGTGGGGTGTAAAGGAAAGCGACTGCAGCCTTCCTCAGGGCTTGATCTACTCCCCCGACTCCCTTGGAAGCACTGTTCTTGACTCCCCCTATACCTAACTCTCTAGCCTCACACCTCTCCACACTTTCCACTGTCCTGTCTCTTACATTTTATTGCTTCTACTTTTTTATCCTCTGCCCAGTAAATTGCCCCATAATCCAAGATCACATTTTTTTTTTTAATGCTGGGGATGAAACCCAGGGCCTTGAACATGCTAAGCATGCTCTCTCCACCAAGCTACACCCCCAACCCCTGCAATCACATTCTGAGAAAGGATACACTTGCCAAAGTTCACAGATTCTGGAGTGCCTCTTTGTGACACTTGCTGTCCAAAACTATGTTCTATACCTTAGGAAGACACAGAACACATAAGCCCATAGGCTCATGCAGATACACACACACACACACACACACACACACACCCTCACCGCAAACACAAAAGTGTATAACCCCCCCTATAAACACATAAACATCAACACATATATAAATACAACCTCCCATATAAATTCACATGCATACACAGAAACATTTATATACATAGCTCCCCACATGAAAACATTCAGCACATAAATATGCACATAGGTACCCCCACAAACACATAAATGCACAGACACAAGCCTAACTCACCCCCTATGAAGACACAGAGAAACCTACACAAACAAGTGTAAACCCCACGCCTGCCCCTCCCAGAACCCTCAGCCCTCTTCTCCAGCCTCTCCTCAGAGGCCTGTGCTACTAGGGGCTGGAGGGAAGTGAAACCTGCCTGACAGGAAGTGAGACAGCTGGTGCTTTTCTGGTGCTTCTGACACAGCTGTTGGGAGCACTAAGCAAACAGCTAGTTTCTGGGGCTGCCCTGAGGTAACTGTGGAGCACTGGGGTTCTTGGGCTTTGTTTATCTGGCACCCTTCTCTGACCTTCCCTAGGTGGGCGTTCAACTTTCTGTGGAGAAGGAATCCCTCTCTCCACAAAGGGTTTGTGAAAAACACTGTGGGTTCAAGGACACTTATTCCCAGCCACAGAGGCACATGGTACCTTCCTTTCTTCTTAGTCTGGAAACTTTTCAGAGTTTTCGGGTACCTTCTTTTAAAATTGAAAGATGCAGGCAAGAAGATGAAGTAGGTATATCAATTAAGGGATTATTGAAAGGGATTATTTTTCCTTACAGTAGACCAGGCTGATCTTTACTTTTTTTTTTTTTTGTACTGGGGACTGAACCCAGGTGTGCTTTACCACTGAGCCACATCCCCAGCCCTTTTTTTGTATTTTATTTAGAGACACGGTCTGACTAAATTGCTCAGTGCCTCCCTAATCTTCTTTTTTTTTTTTTTAAAGAGAGAGTGAAAGAGGGAGAGAGAGAGAGACAGAGAATTTTAATATTTATTTTTTAGTTATTGGCGGACACAACATCTTTGTTTTGTATGTGGTGCTGAGGATCGAAACTGGGCCGCATGCATGCCAGGCGAGCTGCATGCCAGGCGAGCTGCATGCCAGGCGAGCTGCATGCCAGGCGAGCTGCATGCCAGGCGAGCTGCATGCCAGGCGAGCGCGCTACCGCTTGAACCACATCCCCAGCCCGTTTTTTTTTTTTTTTTTTAAGAAGAACCTTTTTTTTTTTAGTTGTAGATGAGCAAATACCTTTATTTTGTTTATTTATTTTTAATTTTTTTTTAAGAGAGAGAGAAATTTTTAATATTTATTTATTTTTTTTAGTTTTCAGCAGACACAACATCTTTGTTTGTATGTGGTGCTGAGGATTGAACCCGGGCCGAACGCAGGCCAGGCGACTGCGCTACCACTTGAGCCACATCCCAGCCCCCTCCCTAACCTTCTGAAACTGGCTTTGAACCTGTGATTCTCCTGCCTCAGCCTCCCAAGTTGCTGGGATTACAGGCTGCACTACT